CTGCACCAGGATGTGTGAAAACCCTGCTGGTGCTGCAAGAGGATGCCAGAAATATGACATATACCTGACAGCCCTTCCTGGCTGGGGTCCTGTCTTCACCAAAGTGTGAAGTGGTGATGGCTGACAGGAAGCATTACTGGGACCAATGCCCTTCCCACTATCCATAGAAACGTCCATCAGTGTGCAGACAGAGCTGCCTCACATGGCTGCAACCTTGCCACTGCCTGAGTGCCTCTTTCCAGGTCACAGATGACCCATGTGAGCAGGATTTAAAGGGCTCTGGTCATCTGGGGAGTAGGGGCTGCCTGGCAATGAAGCCACCCCTACTGCTCTCCTAATGCAAAAGCCAACAAAGAAATCCTCGTGGACCTGGACACAGGCAGCACTACCACTTTGTACCTATGCAGCACAAGCAGACACACTGTTTCTAAACCATAATGGCACAGAAACACACTGAGGGGAAATTACTGCATAAATTCATGGGAAATTAAGAGGTTTAGTTAGGAACATATAATTAAAGCAACTGAACAGACCTCCTGTGCTCTTGTTAATTGCTTTTGTTTTACTGTGCCCAAATAATAATGCCAGAAAAGACACAGGTATCATTGTTTTAGCAGACAGCAAATGGGAGGAGAGAGAAAGGTCAACTTAAAAACTCATACAGCTCCTCAATCCATCCTAAACCTTTGCTTTCCATCATTTTAGGGTGACAAGTCTAGGACAATGAAAGATTGACAACCTGCTGGCTACAGTGGATCACAAATTAATGCCAAAAATGCCAATCAAGTCTCAACAGTTCAAACATGTGGGTAATAAATAATAAAAAAAATAGACTTCATGCTATAAAATACTGACCCTGTAAATGAAGAGGTTTTCTGAAAGGTAAATATTGCAAGAGTCTCCTCTAGAAATATTCTTAGATATTTTTCAGGTATGAATGGGATGAAATGAAATGTGCAGATGTGAAAAAAAGACATTTTGCTTAAGCTCTGGGAAATCATGAAAACAGAAAGAATGCAAAACATAGACTGAATAGTAAAAATGAACACAAAGTCCGGGAGCAAAAACTTTACACTTTTCACAGCCTCGTCCCTGCAGCTCTATAAAAGGCCAGGACTCTTGCTTGAAGCTGGAATGGGAATAAACACCCTTCTGGTCAAGCTCCCAGTGAAAGGAGCCAGCAGCAGCAAACTTGGCAAGCCTGTGCCTGCCAGCAATTCCCACACACATGGGAAAGGAGAAGCGGCCTCTCTTCTCACCAGCTTGCCCTTGGTTTTCAAGTTGAACTTCTCCCTCCTTGGGAGGCTGAAGGCTGCAAAAGGCTCTCCTGTCTCCCAATTGGCTTCTCCAGAAACAATCTGTGCTCAAACCTTTCCACATCAGCTTCTTCAACCCACATCCCCTTACAAGATCACCAGACCAAGATAAGACATTATGTTAACACAGAGTGAGGAGCTCAAAAATTAAGCACTTCCACCTTAGCTCTGCCTGGATAACAAGATTATTATAAAGTCAATTATTTGGGTACAATGTTCAGTATTTCTTAATGCAGAAAAATAATAAGAAAGTTTTCCTTTATTATGATAAAGCCCATAAGCTGTAATGTACTTATAATAAACAGACATTATTAAAGTGAAAAAATTCAAGCCTTGGTTACTGGTACACTATCACTTCAGCCATAAAATATGTACTGCAGGTTAATCACAGAACCACAGATTAGATGTAGACACCTCTGTAGACTGGCTAGTCCACCCTCTCTTCCCAAGAAGCACCCCCAAAGACAGGTTGCTCTGGATTGTGCCCACCTGGGTTCTGAGTATCTCCACAGATGGAGACTCCACAGTCTGTGTGAGCAGTCTGGGCCAGTGTTTGACCACCCTCACCATAAAATTTTTTTTCTTCTTCTGTTGAAATGGAAATTCCTGTCTTTCACTTTGTGCCCCTTGCCTCTTGTCCTGGCAAATGAGTACCACTGGGCTCTGTTTTCTTTACTCCTCCCGTCACACAATGATACACTGATAAGATCCCCCGAACCTTCTCTTCTCAGAGGTTGAACAGTTCCAGCTCTAAGCCCTTTCTCATAAAAGAGATGTTCCAGGGCCTTCATTGTATCTGTGGCCCTTTGCTGGACTCTATCCAGCATGTTCATTTCTCCCTTGTACTGCGGAGCTCAGAACTGGACTCAGTTAGGTGCTGAGTAGAGGGTAAGGACCACCTTCCTTGACCTGCTGACAACATTACCCAGGATAGCACAGGCCTTCTGTGCTGCCAGGGCACATCATTGACTTTTGTTCACCTTGTTGCCCATCAGGACCCTCAGGTAATAAAAACCCCTCTATCACAGTAATCAAGCTACCAAGCCCATATGTTACTGTACTGTGATAGGCAACGAGAAAAATTACACAGGAGATGAGCAATCAACAACTTAATACAAAGATGTGACATTAACGTCCTTGTCATACAGGTGCTGGTAAGACCCCAAGAAATCCCTTTGGTATTTAGTAAGATACAGGGAAAAGACCAGGAAGATTTCAAATGTTTTGTGCTGGACAGTGCTTCCCAGACTGGAAGCTAGTTTTGACAGAGGAAAATTTAATAGGATCCAGAACTGCCACCTCCAAGGGACAAATTTTGTTTCTGTGCAAGACCGTAGGCTTGGCTGTCCCATGCCAGTAGGCACTAACCTCTCCAAAATGTCTCCTTCAAGCTGCTGTGTCTCCTG